AGAAGAGGAGCAGGCACTCAATAAATTGTGCCGAAGGATAAATAATTAGCATAACTCGCTTTCCCCAGAGGGCGGCAGAGAATCCCTGAGTTGAGTAAATAGCAGTGAGATAAGAGGGGTCCAGCCAAAGAGAAAATCAGAAAACTGCTAAGCCAGCTAAGAGATACGCCAGAGATGCTATCCCATAAGGATTACTTATAAAAAATCAATGTTTTAAGCAAAACAGTGATTAACCCTGTGCTTCCTTCGGCGGCGGCCTGGAGAGGCGAGCTGGCGGGTGGCTGCGGAAGCCAAGCTCTACGCTGGGCCTGCGCTGCCCTTTTGTTGATCATCACCGTCTACCTCCTCCAGGGCCAAACTTGCAAAGAGCTGTGTGGGCACATTTTGTCCTGAGGAACCTCCTGAGAGCCACGCGTACCTGTTTGCTGCCAAAGACAACAATCCGGGGAGGGTTAAGGAACTCCAGGCAGGCCCGGGGACCAGGCCAGCACCAGGACACTGTGTCTGACCCCCGGCCCTGCAGGCGGGCCCTTCCCCTCTGAGACACCTGGCCACCCAGGCATCTGGGGGACTCGCCTTGGCACCCACCTGGGCCCTATGCACGAGCCTCTGCCAGTGGCTGGCACACTCACTTACTGAAACCTCCACTGGCCTCAGCAACATGGAGGGGGCGGGGATGGGGGCGGGGCAGGCGGGCTCTTATAAGACCTTGGACAGAGAGAGGTCACGTTTGAATTCAATGTGCTCACAGAATGGGCACTGAGTACATGTCTTTGAAATGTTAATTTAAACTCCTGATTGAGCGGTTTCTCTAAAATACACTCACAGATAGATTGTTGAGAGCCCCACAGATAAACTTAGCTTCTCATGCTCCCCTGTCCCACCCGGGAGAGATTGGCCACATGTGGCTACTGAGCCCTGACCTGTGGCTCAGGGCACTGGGATGTGCTCTGGGTGTAACACACACTGGGTTTCAAGAGCAAAACCAAAGAAAGGGTAAATGTCTCATTAATAATTTCATATTGATGACATGGTGAAGTGACAATGGTCTGGATATTGGGCTAAATAAATGACTAAAATGAATTTCACCTGTTTTGTTATGTCTTTTTTAAAAATACTTTTTTTATTGATTTCAGAGAGGAAGGGGGAGAGAGAGAGAGAGAGAGAGAGAGAGAGAGAGAGAGAGAGAGACATCAATGATGAGAGAGAATCATTGATCGGCTGCCTCCTGCATGCCCCACACTGGGATTCAAGCCTGCAACCTGGGCATGTGCCCTGACCGGGAATCGAACCGTGACCTCCTGGTTTATAGGTCAATGCTCAACCACTGAGCCACGGCAGCCTGGCTTGTTATACCTTTTGAAATATGAGTACCAGAAAATTTTAAATTCTACATGTGGTTCACATGGTATCTCCTCTAGAGACTGCTGCTTTCCAACATCTGGAAACTTCCAATGAGATGAAAGTGAGGCGATAGCCCTAATTTCCTAAGTCCGCTTTTATGGAATTCCGACATCTTCTTTGTCATTTCCTGGCCCCATCTCGGCACTAGTATAAAGAACCTGTATCACATCTGTGACTTAGAACTGTCACCTTGCGCCGAATTGATTCATTACGTTGTGGAATGTCACCCATAAATTCAAGAGGGGGAAAAAGATCACCAGCCATAAATTCCTCATTTTTTAAAATGATATAAGTTGTGTTGGTAAACACAACCCTCATTTAAGTTTTTCATTATCTAGGCAGTCTCTCAATTTTAGTTGATGCCTGAATAATTTACCACTGGGTCTGGAGACACAACCAATTTTCATACAAGTGGCGCCTTGAGGTACGTGTGATACAGACAAAATATAAGGCATCACCGGGGAGCTGCTCGCCCGGTTCTTTTGGGGAGGTAGCCGCCTCCCTCCTGTCCGGAGCGGCGTCTTGTGGGGATTATCTGTGAGAGCAGGTGGGTACCGCCAGCACGGAAGATGCCACTGATGTGATGCACTCAAGTGCCCACAGCTAGCACACAGCTGGCAAGTGGCAGGACCGTTTTGAACCCGGGCAGACTGGCATCAAAATCCTTCTCTCACAGCAGAATTTTAAGCCACTTGCTGGGGGAGGCTGAGTAAGCGTTTTCCATGTGCGGCATTTTCTGACTTCTCCCAGATGGCCCGATGTCCGGCGCCTCTGGGATCCCCCCGTAGTTTTCTCTGGAACTGGAATTAAGCGCCGACATATCCACAGACCACAGG